AAAAAGCAGAATATTCACCCATATCTACTTGAGGTACATGGACAACTGTCCAGTATGTAGAACTCATCTGAGTGCCCTGTCCATGGAAATGAGGTTATCAAAACCAAGAACTGTGCTACTAAATACAACTATTTTTCCTTATCAAAACAAATGTAGTTACACTACAACTTTCAAAATAAATAAATTGGTAGAATCCAATGATTTATATCATTTGTACTACTTACTTCCAGTGATACATATAATTCAGAATTAAAAGGCAGCTTAGCATTGGGGGTTTATACATTTAAATCAAGGAAGTTTTTTTTTTGTTTTGAGGCAATCTCACTGGTCTCAAACTCTTGAGCTCAAGCAATCCTCCTGCCTCAGCCTCCGATAGCTGAGGACTAAAGTAGCTAGGCCTATAAAGGAGATACTCTACTTACTGTAGCAATACAGCTATCACTGGTGAGTTGAGATACCTACCAGCATACCACAACCTTGGGTTTCCTTCTTCCATTCGATTTACCCATATTTCATTCCAAGAGTGAGCACCGTCTACCAACAGCACCAACTGGATGAGGATGAAGAAAGCGGCCCCTGCCATGCCAACAGTAAACCAAGCTACAAACCAAGAGAACAAAGTTAAGCTCTATCCTAGTTATTCTCTTCAGAATGCTATTGTCCAACATTTTGAACAGATTTCAATTCAAAGAAGAGAGACTGGGGTGGGGGAGAGAAATCACAGCAGAACCCCCACATATGTCACTTGATGCCATGATTAACAAAGTAGAATAGGACAGAAATAGTAGAACACAAGGAAATAAAACTCCTTATGTTGGGTGGTGCCTGTGGCTCAGTAAGGGTGGCGCCTATGGCTCAGTGAGTAAGGGTGCTGGCCCCATATACCGAGGGTGACAGGTTTGAACTTGACCCCAGCCAAACTGCAGCCAAAAAATAGCTAGGCATTATGGTGGGCACCTGTGGTCCCAGCTATTCTGGAGGCTGAAGCAAGAGAATCACCTAGGACCAGAAGTTGGAGGTTGCTGTGAGCTGTGGGCAACAAAGTAAGACTCTGTCTCTAGAAAAATAAATTCTACCGAGGGCAACAAAGTAAGACTCTGTCTCTAGAAAAATAAATTCTACAGAGGGCAACAAAGTAAGACTCTGTCTCTACAAAAAAAAAAAACAAAAAACAAAAAAAAAACTCCTTATGTTGACCGGCTCTCTGATTAACTTTGTACTGAATCAACTGAGAAGGTAAACTATTAAAATATTGGCAACAGATTATCATAGTGGTTCCAAAAAGCTGAAAAGTGGCCTGAATGCCTCCTGGCTTTGAATGAATATATTAATATTGGTCGCAGTCATAGTAATCGGATACCATCTCTTTGTCAGTTCAACAAAATCAATAATGAAAATATATCTTTAACTCAATCATTTGTAGAGTTACAACCCCCTCAAGAGTGAGCCCTACCTGTGGTAAAAGAGCCCCCAGGAATGTAGAAAGCGCCAACCATGATTCCAATAAGAGCAGCAATTTTAAAGAACCAAAACCTATTAAAACACACAAATGCATTAATCAAATGCTAGGTTTATCCTTATACTGAAAAAAATTAATTTCTGAAATGCAAAAATAATGCCCTAGTATCTTTTTTCCCAACATGATTATCTGGGCTTATCTCTTCCTTTGATGTGAGGCCAATTCATTTAATTATTTTACACAATTAAGGACAACAGCTCAGACCAGCCTGAGCAAGAGTGAGACCCTATCTCCAGTAAAAAAATTAAAAAATCAGCCAGGTATCATGGTGGGTGCCTAGGGTCCCTACTAATTAGGAGGCTAAGGCAGGAGGATGGCTGGCACCCAGGATTAGGGTCGTTGTGACCTATGCTGATGCCATAGCATTCTAGTCTGAGCAACAGAGTGAGACTCTATCTCAAAACATAAAATAAAGTTAAAGAATAAAAATCTAGGAACTTGAAGCAAAAGTATTTTTAAAAAGAAAGAAGACAGGATTCCATACCTCCTCAACGTGGCAGGGCTCTAACTGAAAATGACACTACAACAATTTCACAAGTATAATAGATCAGAAATACTTTGGGGCCATTGATTTACATATTCTACTGCTTCCATCAGAATGGCAACTTTAACTGCTTAAGGAGAAGAGGACACACAGCACAATATAACAAAATAATAATAAATCTCACATACCCATTGTGTACTGCTGCTCTAGGATCTTTGCTTGTTTTTACTTTTAACATGAGCAGAAAGAAGATAAAGAAAAAGATGGCCAAGGCAAAGTTGATCCGATATACAGCTTTATAACCAACCAGGACATCACAATCTTCGTCTGTCTTTCTATCAGTCATACTGATTTGAAATCCCCTGTCACAGAATCCAGGAATCTGAAAAAATAAATTTCAATGCTATAGGAATATCCACATTTAAACAGAGATTCTATCCCACTACAGGAAAGCCTGAATTTATAAAATTAACTACTTTAACAACTGCAAGACTGTGGGATTTTTCTCTTTGCCTTCCAGTTCATTTACAATTTTGTTACCAAACAATATAAACAACTTTCATTTTAAAAATAAAAGTGTTCTCTCTTCTTTGCTTTTATGCTATGAGGTTATCTCCCATTTTCCCATAAGATTTTCCAGCCAGGCTCGGCGCCTGTGGCTCAAGCGGCTAAGGCACCAGCCACATACACCTAAGGTGGTGGGTTCGAATCCAGCCCCGGCCTGCGAAACAACAATAATGGCTGCAACCAAAAAAAAAAAAAAAAAAAAAAACAGCCGGGTGTTGTGGCGGGCGCCTGTGGTCCCAGCTACTTGGGAGGCGGAGGCAGAGGCAGGAGACTCGCTTGAGCCCAGGAGATGGAGGTTGCTGTGAGTAGTGAAGCGTTGGCACTCTACCCAGGGGGACAGCTTGAGGCTCTGTCTCAAAAAAAAAAAAAAAAAAAAATTTCCCAGCCACAACTGACTCCTTCCAAAGCTAAAATAGTCTACTTTAGATGCTTAAATCTTAAACATACAAGGAAAGAAAATATTTTGGAGCCGTTCTTTTAATGTTTTTTTGTCAGTTATTAGACTACAGCCCAAAGATGTTCATTCTATATTTCTGTGAAAGGACTAATATCTGCATATTCTGTGTCTTAATTACACCCAAAAGTAATTAAAAATTCCAAAGCTACAATGAACTTGACTCAGTTTCACAGTGAAGAATTAAAAACAATTAAAACTAAATTTCTGTAAAATATAAAAATAAAAATACCCAGGACATTAAGGGAACTGTTACTTTAACTTACCTTCTTCAGGTGAGGTTCCATCTCTTCTCTCAGCATGATACAGGATACAAGGGTGGTCAGGAGGAGAATGAAGGCATAAATGAGGCGAGTCAAAGTGGAATTCCTACTGTTGGGACAACAACTGCACAGCAGACATGATGCGCCACCACACAGGCATGGAACCTGCAGTGAGCATACCATGGGTCAGTTGAGGCCTTCTTCAGTGGACCTCCTCATGACACAGATGTCAAAGAAAAGAAGATGTGGCAAACAAGACTTCACAGTTTTAGTTTAGAGAATCATGGCTGTGAGGAAGTGGTTAAAAGCGCGGGCTTTGCAATCAATATATTATTTCTGCCACTTTGTCAAGTTATATAATCTAATCTTATTTCTCCATCTGTAAAACGAACTCAGTAATAAAATCTTCCTCCCTCAGACTCTGCTATACCAAATAAGCACTCAACAAAGTGCTAGGCTCGGCGCGTGTGGCTCAAGGGGCAAAAGCACCAGCCATATACACCTAAGGTGGCAGGTTTGAATCCAGCCCGGGCCTGCCAAAACAACAATGATGGCTGCAACCAAAAAATAGCCAGGCGATGTGGTGGGCGCCTGTGGTCCCAGCTACTTGGGAGGCTGAGGCAGGAGACTCCCATGAGCCCAGGAGTTGGAGATTGCTGTGAGCTGTGATGCCACAGCCCTCTACCCAGGGGAATAGCTTGAGGCTCTGTGTCAAAAAA